CAAGACCCAACACTCTGGATGAGCTTAAGGCCGCTATCGAAGCATCCTGGGCCTCCATAACACCTCAGCAGTGCCACAGGCTGATTGCCTCCATGCCACGCCGCATTGAAGCAGTCACTCATGCAAAAGGATTCCCGACCAAGTATTGAGTGCATAACTGAACATGATTATTTGAAGGTTGGCATTTTTTGTATTAAAAACACTTGTCTTTCATTGGTGGAATGAAATATGCTAATTTTTAGGGTGTCCCACACCCCTTGCACAGAGATTGTTGGACATGGGCACCGGCGACCCCCGTGACCCAAAATGGAAGAAGGGGGTAAAAGATAATGGATTCATGAATGGATCGTCTTTGTAGAGATTTAGTAGAGTGCTGCATGAATGTGTGCATTGAGGTTTTTAACCACATAATTATAGTACTCACCTATTGCAGATAACTCTTTGAACAAACTCATTTTTGACAAATAGACTAATTTACCCAGACTGGCCAGATTCGAACAAGTCCAAGAGTAAAGTTACAAGTTCTGTTTTGCATGTGCTGGACAGAGAATAGTGACAATAATAATAAAAAAAAATAATTAAAAAATCATATATCTACAGTGGCAGTAAAAACGAGACAATTCAACAGATAAATCAAAGCACAATAAGTCAAATATCTCATTTCTCACTCTTCATTATAAGCCAGGGAGTAAAAGTAGTTTTTATAATAAAATTTAAAAACAGCAAGTGAGTTAATTTGCCTAATGTGCCGTGGCAAATTATTCCAAAGTTTTGGACCAGCAAAAGAAAAAGTTTTATCAACTCTAAGTTGGCATCTGTTTGTATATCCCTGTTTGCATCTTTTTATTGAGCGTAATCCCTCACTTCAGATGTCTGTTGCCAAACACTATGTGGGACTTTGTCGGTCTGCTGCAATGTTGGTGCAGTTCGACATCAATAGACAAAATACATGGAATTCTATCTTTATTAGAAAAGGCAGATAGTAGCAGCAGCAGCTAGCTGTAGCACTTCAGGTGCAGCCTGGTGTATGTTATAACATTTCTGCAGGTATAATTGTTTAATGTGAAAATGACAGCAGTATAAGGATTTGTATATCATTGTATATCAGCCTTTGCATGTGTTGCTATGAAACCTTGGAGACAGCAGCAGTCCTCTTTAATCTTGCTCAGACTGCCGGTCAACCTGTCAGTCTTTCAAAACTAATCAAGATGGTTCCAAACGGCGGTTGTTCAAAAAGCTATCACAACAGGTAAGATATTAATTTCTCATAAACTTTCCGCAGATCCCTATTTCAAAAGACCCTATCAGTTTTAAAGTTTTCTATCAATAATAGATCTAAGAGGATTGTTTTGTAAGTGAGAAAGCAGCTTTTCTTTGTGCTCCATCCCACAGACAGCCAGAAAAAGATCATTCCTGAGCTCCTAACAGCAGGTAAGGCAGGACAAACAGAATTTAATAGAGCATAGCAGTTTGGGAAGTTCATTTTACACCATTCATGTGAAGAGGCTTCTGTGTTTTTATTACAGGCTTTAATTATTTTTTAACTGTCTGACTGGGGCTGAGGTTTGGGTGAGAATTTAATTTTTTTCCAATGCGGAGCTCCAGTTCTCGAGCTGCAGCGATCGCGGCGTCGAGATAAAGGCAGGCAATAAAGCAGGCGCAGCTGTAACACGCTTGTTAAAGGACAATCTCAATGTCATCACGGCGCGGGAGCGAGCGGCACTCGTTCAGGAAACAGCGGTGCTGTTCAGAGGTTTTGATGTGACCTGATCGCTGTCATAACTGTGAGGTTAAACTCATCCTCAGCAGATTTGGACCGTTTCATCTTCTTTTTCCTTTTTTTCAAGTTGTTTTACGCCACATGTCATTTTGATTAATGGCTTCCTTCACACTTTGGATCATATGTACTATACGGCAAGGTATCAATCACAGCACTATACACTTTCATGGATTTTCTACAGCCGTGTCACCACAGTAAACGACTAATTACATTTAACTAATAGGAGTTCATAAAAACCAATGCCCCGAAACGGTGAACATATTGGATAAATGTCACAAAGTGTGGACTTAATGTTTTTACATCCATTAGCTATATCCTGTTTATTCACCAAGTTAAAAATCCCCACAATAAACCTGGAATAAACCCACAAAAGGGAGGAGATAGTTTCAGATGAGCAGTTGTTCATGTCTGATCTCCCATCCCACCAGCCAGGCTCAAATTAAGCTGGAATCAAACAGACAAAACAGTTTTTAAGGGAAATTGCTCGGAGGAGCCGTTTAATTGAGTAACCACCATTTTATTAGCTTCTACAAACCTTTGCCAGCACAGGTCAAGCAAAAATGAATTGGCTGTATGTGTGCGTTTCCAGACGATCGATACTCATGAATCTGGTGATGGTGGAAGGCAAGGTTACTGGGAGATGGGAACTAAAATAGCAAGTTGAAAGCACAAAAAGCTCATTCTCCGTGATTATTAAGACTGTTTTCATTATGTTTGGTCTCCACGGTATAAAAATTTCAATGAGGGTGCATCCTGTGTTGCCAACAAAGGTCAAGTTCCAGACTTAAACATTTCAATTTTTTCCTCCTGTAAAGGAAATTAGTTTTGTTTTCCCACTTGGGCCTTATATTGCCCTCATTGTGTGTTTGTATGACAATCAATGACAGGCAGAAAAATCTTTACCAAACTGAAACAGGAGCCGTCTGACTAGAGCCAACTTAATGTCTACAATGCAATAACAAAGAGAAATCATGCGGCAAAGTCAAAGTGACAAGCGCAGAATGTTATATATAACGTTGAAAACAATCTGAAGTGTGCCTAAAGGAGAAGTTTCACTCTGAAATCTTGTGACAGGTGAACTGTTGCTTGAAGAGAACAGTCTACCGGAGAGCAAAATCAAGCAGCTGCCCTTGGAGAAGAGACTACACAGTCAGACTGCAAAAACACAGCTTTCAAAAAGTTTCTGATGTTTTCCTGCTCTAATTGTAATCCCGTCCCGTT